CCAGATTTAAAGTGAGGGGATGGGGGCACCTAGGTTACTCTATGGGTTAAAGCCTCTGCCTTCAGCTCAGGTCATGGTCTCAGGGTCCTGTGATCGAGTCCCACGTTGGGATCTCTGCTCAGCAGGGAACCTGCCTCCCTCTCTCTCTCTGCCTGCCTCTCTGCCTACTTGTGATCTCTGTCAAATAAATAAATAAAATCTTTTAAAAAAATTAAAAATAAAAAAAAATAAAGTGAGGGGATGGAAAACAATTTACCATGCTAATGGACATCAAAAGAAAGTTGGGGTGGCGGGCGCCTGGGTGGCTCAGTGGGTTGAGCCTCTGCCTTCGGCTCGGGTCATGGGATCGAGGCCCACATCGGGCTCTCTGCTCGGCAGGGAGCCTGCTTCCCCCTCCCTCTCTGCCTGCCTCTCTGCCTACTTGTGATCTCTCTCTGTCAAGTAAATAAATAAAATCTTAAAAAAAAAAAAAGTTGGGGTGGCAACACTTATAGCAGATAAATTAGATTTTAAGCCAAAGACTCTAATAAGAGATGAGGAAGGACTCTATACCATACTTGAAGGGTCTGTCCAACAAGAAGATCTAACAATTTTAAATATCTATGTCCCTAACATGGGAGTAGCCAATTATATAAACCAATTAATAACAAAATCAAAAAAATACATCAACAATAATACAATAATAGTAGGCCTTTAATACCCCCTCACTGAAATGGACAGATCATCCAAGCAAAATATCAACAAGAAAGTAAAGGCCTTAAATGACACACTGGAACAGATGGACATCACAGATATATTCAGAACATTCCATCCCAAAGCAACAGAATACACATTCTTCTCTAGTGCACATGGAACATTCTCCAGAATAGAACACATCCTGGGTCACAAATCAGGTCTCAACCAGTAACAAAAGATTGGGATCATTCCCTGCATATTTTCAGACCACAATGCTCTAAAGCTAGAACTCAATCACAAGAGGAAAGTTGGAAAGAACTCAAATACATGGAGACTAAAGAGCATCCTACTAAAGAATGAATGCGTCAACCAGGAAATTAAGGAAGAATTGAAAAAGTTCATGTAAACAAATAAAAATGAAAACACAACTGTTCAAAATCTGTGTGACACAGCAAAGGTGGTCCTGAGAGGAAAGTATATAGGGATACAAGCCTTTCTCAAGAAACAAGAAAACTCTCAAGCACACAACCTAACCCTAGACCTAAAAGAGCTGGAAAAAGAACAGCAAAGAAAGCCTAAACCCAGCAGGAGAAGAGAAAAAATAAAGGTCAGAGCAGAAATCAATGAAATAGAAACCAAAAGAACAGCAGAACAATCAAAGAAACTAGCAGCTGGTTCTTTCAAAGAATTAATAAGATTGATAAGCCCCTGGCCAGACTTAACAAAAAGAAACGAGAAAGGACCCAAATAAATAAAATCATGAATGTAAGAGGAGAGATCACAACCAACACCAAAGAAATACAAACAATTATAAAAACATATTATGAGCAACTATGTACCAGCAAATTTGACAATCTGGAAGAAATGGTTGCATTCCTAGAGACGTATAAACTACCAAAACTGAACCAGGAAGAAACAGAAAACCTGCATAGACCCATAACCAGTAAGGAGATTTCATGAAGCAGTCATCAAAAATCTCCCAACAAACAAGAGCCCAGGGCCAGACAGCTTCCCAGGGGAATTCTACCAAACATTTAAAGAAGAATTAATACCTATTCTCCTGAAACTGTTCCAAAAAATAGAAATGGAAGGAAATCTTCCAAACTCATTTTATGAGGCCAGCATTACCTTGATCCCAAAACTAGACAAAGACCCCATCAAAAAGAATTACAAACCAATATCCTTGATGAACACAGATGCAAAAATTCTCACCATAATACTAAGTCAATAGGATCCAACAGTACATTAAAAGGATTATTCACCATGACCAAGTGGGATTTTTTCCTGGGCTGCAAGGTTGTTTCAACATCTGCAAATCAATCCATGTGATACAATACATTAGTAAAAGAGAGAACAAGAATGATATGATACTCTCAAGAGATGCTGAAAAAGCATTTGATAAAGTACAGCATCCTTTCTTGATCAAAACTCTCCAAAGTGTAGGGATAGAGGGTACATACCTCAATATCATCAAAGCCATCTATGAAAAACCCACAGCAAATATCATTCTCAATGGGGAAAAACTGAGAGCTTTTCCCCTAAGGTTAGGAACACGGCAGGGATGTCGACTATCACCACTGCTATTCAACATAGTACTACAAGTCCTAGCCTCAGAAATCAGGTAACAAAAAGAAATAAAAGGCATCCAAGTCAGCAAAAAAGAAGTCAAACTCTTACTCTTTGCAGATGATATGATACTTTCTGTGGAAAACCCAAAAGACTCCACTCCAAAACTGCTAGAACTCAAACAGGAATTCAGTAAAGTGTCAGGATATAAAAATCAATGCACAGAAATCAGTTGCATTTCGATAAGCCAACAGCAAGACAGAAGAAAGAGAAATTAAGGAGTCAATCCCATTTACAATTGCACCCAAAACCGTAAGATATACCTAGGAATAAACCTAACCAAAAAGGCAAAGAATCTGTACCCAGAAAACTATAAAGTACTCATGAAAGAAATTGAGGAAGACACAAAGAAATGGAAAAACGTTCCATGCTCATGGTTTGGAAGAACAAATATTGTGAAAATGTCTATGCTACCTAAAAGAATCTACACATTTAATGCAATCCCTAGCAAAATACCATCAATTTTTTTTCAAAGAAATGTAACAAATAATCCTAAAATTTATATGGAACCAGAAGACCCCGAATAGCCAGAGGAATGTTGAAAAGGAAAGCCAAGATTTGTGGCATCACATTTCCAGACTTCAAGCTTTATTACAAAGCTGTCATCATCAAGAGAGTATGGTACTGGCACAAAAACAAACACATAGATCAATGGAACAGAATAGAGAGCCCAGAAATAGACCCTCAACTCTATGGTCAACAAATCTTTGACAAAACAGGAAAGAATGTCCAATGGAAAAAAGACAGGCTCTTCAACAAATGGCATTGGGAAAATTGGACAGCCACATGCAGAAGAATGAAACTGGACCATTTCCTTACACCACACACACACACAAATAGACTCAAAATGGATGGAAGACCTCAATGTGAGACAGGAATCCATCAAAATCCTTGAGGAGAACACAGGCAGCAACCTCTTTGACCTCAGCCACAGCAACTTCTTCCTAGAAACATCGCCAAAGGCAAGGAAAGCAAGGGCAAAAATGAACTATTGGGACTTCATCAAGATCAAAAGCTTTTGCACAGCAAAGGAAACAGTCAACAAAACCAAAAGACAACTGACAGAATGGGAGAAGATATTTGCAAATGACATATCAGATAAAGGGCTAGTATCCAAAATCTATAAAGAACTTATCAAACTCAACACCCAAAGAACAAATAATCCAATCAAGAAATGGGCAGAGGACATGAACAGACATTTCTGCAAAGAAGACATCCAGATGGTCAACAGACACATGAAAAAGTGCTCCACATCACTCGGCATCAGGGAAATACAAATCAAAATCACAATGAGATACCACCTCACACCAGTCAGAACGGCTAAAATTAATCAGTCAGGAAATGACAGATGTTGGAGAGGATGCAGAGAAAGGGGAACCCTTCTACTCTGTTGGTGGGAATGCAAGCTGGTGCAGCCACTCTGGAAAACAGCATGGAGGTTCCTCAAAAAGTTTAAAATAGAGCTATCCTATGACCCAGGAATCATACTACTGGGTATTTACCCTAAAGATACAAATGTAGGGATCCAAAGGGGCACATGCACCCAAATGTTTATAGCAGCAATGTCCACAATAGCCAAACTATGGAAAGAACCTAGATGTCCATCAACAGATGAATGGATAAAAAACATATGGTAAAATTTAATTATACACATACATATATACACAATGGAATACTATGCAGCCATCAAAAGAAATGAAATCTTGCCATTTGCAACAACCTGGATGGAATTAGAGGGTATTATGCTGAGCAAAATAAGTCATCAGAGAAAGACAATTATCATATAATCTGCCTGATATGAGGAATTTGAGAGGCAGGGTGAGGGTTTGGGTGGTAGGGAAGGAAAAAATGAAACAAGATGGAATTGGGAGGGAGACAAACCATAAGAGACTCTTAACCTCACAAAACAAACTAAGAGTTGCTGGGGGAAGGGGGGTTATGGAGAGGTGGTGAGTGCTGTGAAATGTGTAAGCCTGACAATTCACAGACCTGTACCCGTGGGCAAATAATACATTATATATCAATAAAATAATTAACTTAAAAAGAAATGAACATAATAATAATAATAAATATTATTAGAAAGCTAATTATTACACACACACACAGACACGCAAAAAACTTGGAATAAATGAATTCAGCAAATATCAGAAGACAAAGTCAACACACGAGAAACAGCAGTATTTCTACATACTAACAATAAAGAATCTGAATGAGAAATTATAAAAGCAATTCCATTTACAACAGCATCAAAAAAGATAAAAGACAGGAATTAATTCACTCAAGGAGGTGGAAGTCTTGTACAGTGAAAAATATAAAATGTTACTGAAAAAATTAGGACATAAGTACATGGACATACATGTTCATAAATTGGAAACTTAATATTGTTAAGATGTCAATATAATGTGAAAATTATGAAGGGAAACCTCATTAAAATGGAATCAGAGGCCAGTGCAGGCAGCCCTCATGCCCTACCACTCGTCAACTGCAAAACCAACAGGAAAAGATATATCTTGCCTTCTGGATAGGAATGTTCTTAATTTTTTTTTTAAGATTTATGTATTTATTTTAGAAAGTGAGCGAGTGCACGTGCAAGCAGGGAGAGGGTCAGAGGGAAAGAGAATCTCGAGCAGACTCCCCACAGAGCAATGAGCCCAATATGGGGCTCAATCTCCCAACCCCAAGATCATGACCTGAGCCAAAACCAACTGAGCCACCCAGGCGCCCCAGTAATGTTCTTAAATTTTTTTTAAGATTTTTTATTTTTGAAACAAGGAGAAGAGAGAGAAAGAGAGAGCACACACAACCATACAAGTTGGGGGTGGCGAGGAGCAGAGGTAGAGGGATAAGCAGGCTCCCCACTGAAGCAGGAAGCCCAACTCAGGGCTTGATCCTAGGACCTTGAGATCATGACCTGAACCAAAGGCAGATGCTTAAATGACTAAGCCACCTAGGCGCCCGTTCTTAATTTTCTCAAGAACATATCTTTTTGCTAGCTTACTTCAAGAATACAGCATATAATAAATGTAACATACAAAGTATGTGTTAATCTATTGTTTATGTTATTGGTAAGGCTTCCCATTCTCAGCAAACTATCAATAGTTAAGTTTTCTGGAGAGTCAGGAGTTATACAAGGATTTTCAAGTGCACAGGGGGACAGCACCCATAACCCCCATGTTGTTCAAGAGTTAACTGTACTTTACCACCCCAGCAGAAGGAAGAAATGTTCTCTCCTCGTCCCACAACAGCCCGGCCCATGACAGACTGTCACAACTCAGGCAGTGAAAAGTCACTACACTTCAATTCCCAGTTTACAGCAATGGACTGTCTACAAGAGCCCTCCCAGCTCCCCCTTTCCTCCAAAGAAGAGCATTCTTTGTTCTCTGGACTTGTCTATGGTTTTGCTGTAGGTTGCATGGACTGCAAATCTCTGCTATCCGGAATAAACCCACTTTTGCTGGTAAAATAAATGACGGGTTTATTTTTAAATTTAACATTACTCAAAGTGATCTACAGATTCAGTATAATCCCTATCAAAATCCAGTGGTTTTTTTTTGCAGAAATAGAAAAATTAATCCTAAAATTCATATAGAATCTCAAGAGACCCCAAATACCCAAAACAATCTTAGAAGAAAAAAAGAACAAAGCAAGACTCATGCTACCTGAATTCAAAACTGACTACAAAGCTACAGTAACCAAAACAGTATAGTACTGGCATAAAAACAGACATTTACAGAAAGGGAACAGAATAATGAGCCCAGAAGTTCATGATCCCAGGGTCCTGGGATCGAGCCCCCCATTAGACTCCCTGCTCAGTGGGAAGTCTGCTTCTTCCTCTGCCTGCCCCAGCTTCTGCTTGTGTGCTCTCTCTCTCTCTCAAATAAAATATTAAAAAAAAAAAAAAAGAAGAAGAATGATCCCAGAAATAATCCCTTGCATATATGGTCAAATGGTTGTTGATAAGGGTGCTAAGACCATTCAATGGGGAAAGGATAATTTTTTCAACAAATGCTACAGCAAAAACCGGACATTCGCATGCAGAAGAATAAAGGCGGACTCTTTATCAAACACCATATACAACAATTAACTCAAAATGGATCAAAGACTTAAATATAAGACCTAAAACTATAAAACTCTTATAGATAACATAGGCAAAAGCTTCCCAATACTGAATTTGGCAATAATTTCTTAGATATGATACCAGAACACAGGAAGCAAAAGAATTTCTCTGTAGCATGTGATTTTTTAAAAGATTTTATTTATTTATTTGACAGAGAGAAAGAGAGCACAAGCAGGGGGAGTGGGAGGGGAAGGGAGAACCAGGCTCCCCAGAGTAGGGGGAGACCAATGTGGGACTCAATCCCAGGACCCCGGGATCATGACCTGAGCCGAAGGCAGTCACTTAACCAATTGAGCCACCCAGGCGCCTAGCATGTGATGTTGTCTGGTAGCATTTCACCCACAGTAGAACTCCTCTCCACAATGGAACCAGTCCTCTCAAGCCCTGCCACCTTATCAACTAAGGTCATGCAATGTTCTAAGTCCTTGTCAGATTTCAACCATCTCCACAGCATCATCACCAGGAGCAGACTCCAGCTCAAGAAATCACCTTCCTCGCTCCTCCACAGAAGCAGGTCCTCACCCGTGCAAGTGTTATCCTGTGAGGGCAGCAGGTCTCTTGCCTCTCCAGGCTCTACTTCTGGTTCTCTGGCTGTTTCCACCACATCTGCACAGTGACTTCCTCCACTCAGTCTTGAAGCCCTCAATGTCCTCACCAGGGCCGGAGATCACTTCTTCCAAACTCCTGTTTACTACTGACACTGAGCCATGGGAACATTTTCTTAACGGCGTCTGGCATGGTGAATCCTTTCCAGAAGATTCTCAATGTATCCCACCCAGATCGAGTGGAGGAATCACCATCCATGGCATCTACCGCCTTGCGAAATGTGTCTCTTAAATGATAAGACTTCAAAGTCAGAATTACTCCTTGCTCCGTGGACTGCAGAATGGAAGCTGTGTTCACAGGCAGGGAAACGGCACTCATCTCTCCGTACATCACCAGAGCTCTTGGGTGACCAGGTACAACGTCAACGAGCAGTCATATTTCGAAAGGAACCTTTTTTCCTGAGCAGTAGGTCTCAACAGTGGGCTTGAGACATTTGGTAAACTTCGCTGTGAACAGATATACTGCCGTTCAGGCTGTGTCATTCCGTGGGTAGAGCACGGGCACAGAAGAGGTAGCACAATTCTTAAGGGTCCTAAGAATTTCCAGAATAGTAAAGGAGCACCGGCTTCAGCTGAAAGTCACCAGCTGCATTAGCCCCTAACAGGGAGCCAGCCTGTCCCTTGAACCTCTGAAGCCAGGCGCTGACCTGTCCTCCAGTGAAGACAGTCCGAGATGGCATCTTCTCCCCAGATAAGGCCGTTGCATCTACATGTGGAGAATCTGCTGTTTAGGAGTCACCTCCATGGGCAATCTGAGCTGGATCTCCGGCAGAACCTGCTGCAGCTTCTCCATCAGCACGTGCTGCTCCCCCCGCCCCTCTGTGTCTCCTTAAACCTCACGAACCCACTCTGCTAGCTGCAGCCTTTTCTTCTGCGGCTTCCTCACCTCCCTCAGCCTTCCTGGACTTGAGAGTCAGGGCCTTGCTCTGGATTAGGCTTTGGCTTAAGGGAATACTGGGGCAGGTCTGATCTCCTATCCAGACCACCCGAATTTTCTCCCTATCAGCGATGAGGCCGTTTGGCTTTCTTATCATTCATGTGGTCCCTGGAGTAGTGCTCTTAACTTCCTTCAAGAACTTTTCGTTGGCATTTGCAACATGCCTGTCTGGCACAAGAGGCCTACCTTTCCGCCTATCTTGGCTTCAGAAATCCCTTCCTCACTAAGCTTAATCATTTCTAGCTTTTCATTTCAAGTGAGTTATGTGTGACTCTTTTCACTTGAGCACTTATAGGCCATTAAAGGTCATTATTTAGCCTAACTGCCATATTGTTGCGTCTCAGGGAACAGAGAAGGGAGAGTAATGGGGGAATGGCAGGTCAGTGCAACAGTCATAAAACACACACACTGATTAAGTTTGCTGTCTTTTATGGGCACAGTTCACGGTGCCCCAAAACAAGTACAATAGTAACACCAAAGATCACTGATCACACATCACATAACGAACACATAACGAATAATGAAAAATTTTGAAATATCACAGGAATTACCAAACTATGACACAGAGACATGAAGTGAGCAAATACTATTAGAAAAATGGTGCCAGTAGACTTACTTGATGCAGAGTTGTTAAAAGCTTTCCTTCTTTCTTTTTTCTTTTAAATAATCTCTACACCCAGTGCAGGGCCCAAACCCACAACCCCGAAATCAAGAGTCACATGCTCCACCTACTGAGCTACGCAGACACCCTGTCCAAGTTCCAATTTATAAAAAACACAAGATCTGAGAAGTAAAGCAAAATGAGGTATGCCTGAAGAGTATTCCTAAAACTCAATAACAAAATAATCAATTCAAAAATGGGCAAAGAACTTGACATTTCTTCAAAGAAGATAAACACATGAAAGAATGGTTCACATCACTAATCATTGGGAAATTGCAAATCAAAACTACAATCATTTTGTATTAAATCACCACAAACCCATCAGGATGGCTGCTATTAAAACAACAACACAGAAAATAACTAATGCTGGGGAGAACATGGAGAAACTGCAACCCTGTGCGCTGCTGGGAATGTAAAATGGTGCAGCTGCTGTGGAAAAACAGTGTGGTGGTTCCTCAAAAAACTACACCAAATTACCCTATGACCTAGCAATTCCACTTCTGGCACATAACCAAAAGAACTGAAAGCAGGGTCTCAAAGATACATTTGGACTCACATATTCCTAGAGGCACTGTTATTCATTACAGCTGAAATATGAAAGCAACCCAAGTGTCTATCAACAGATGAACAGATAAGCCAAACGTGGTATATACGTACAATGGAATATCATTCAGCCTGAAAAGAAGAAAATTCTGGCACATGATACAACACGGATAAACCTGTAGGACGTTAGGCTAAGTGAAATAAGTCAGTCACAAAGGGATGATTCCACTTCTGTGAGGTCTCTAGAGTAGTCAAATCATGGAGACAGATGGAAGAATGATATCTGCCAAGGGTGGAGGTTGGGGGGCAGGAAGGTGGGGAGTTACTGCTTAATGGGTATGGTGTTTCAGTTTTACAAGATCAAAAAAGGTATGGAGATAGACGGTTAAAAACAAAACACATAGCTAACACAGCCTATAGTAAAGGGTGTATGCTGTTCTACTCGTTAGAAAGCATGGCAGAACAGGGAAAGAAAAGCCGGGAGAAGAAGCTGGTATGTCAGGACCAAGCAGGGCCTGTGAGGCTAGTACCCTGGGGGGTGATTAGATTGGATACAGCAGTTAAGGGCCACATAGTAAATTAAAACCATTATCCCAGAAAGTCTTAATTGGAGGAGCTTTGTAAAGCTACCCATATAGGCCTCGTGTTACAAGCGAGGTAAGGTCTCGAGTCTTACTGTGGTGGCAAAAAGAACCAGAATTCTCGAGACTGACCTGGCCCCAACACATGCTAGCGACAGCTCAACCACAGATGCAGAAGTTACCTGGAAGTCTCTGCACATCTGAGGACACAGCCTCAGCTCCTCTCTGGGAGCCCCCAGTCTCTACCAACCCAGCGTTGCTATTCCTAAGGGGCTGGCTGACATGACCATTGAGGAGACCAAGCTATTGATCAATTCTTCTCATTGTTTTCACTCTGCACAGTGTGAAATCTCTCCATTCCTCCACGGTTCTGTGACAGACCCAGATAGATGGAGGAGTAAGCCACAAACACATAACTGCATAAGATACTGTATTATTAAAATGTCTCTTAAATAATTAAAAATCCTACAACAAAACCTGTATGTCAGAGGTAAAGGAACATATAGATCTAGGACTATAGACTAGGACTGCTTGTCTGGCTCCTGCATCTAAAATGAGGCAGATGAGAAAATCCTTGCAATGTGATATGAAGATGTACAGACAGCAAGAACTCAAGCACGCCACTGTGTATACACCTGGTGTGTAAAGGAAAAACAGGGAGAAGGCATACCAAGAAATGAACACTAGTTATCCCCGGACTGTGGGATTATGGTGGCTGTTATTTTAATTCTTTACTCTTTCCTCTGTTTTTCAGATATTCAAAATAACTTTTATAGTAAAATAAAAGGGGGGGCAGAGGGGTGCATGTCTCTTTTTCACTCTAAAATCTGGCTGCAGGGCCAAGTCTAGAAGTGAAAATTGTCTTGTGCAGCTCCTCTCTTTGCAGACCTAGTTTCTTTCCTGGGACAATCCAGATAATAGCTATGGCCCAAACAGGGCACTAGAGTACACCCAATGCGTGCGGCACTTCAAATAGCTGTTACGGACAAGTACTATTACTCTTGCTCCTGTTCTGGGCATTCATGGTACTTCACAAAGACAGACGTAACATCGATGACAGGGACGTGGAGGAGGGAAAGTGAGACTAAAGTGTGTTATCCGACACTCACAGGCACCGCAGCACTGTCATTGCTCCCAGCACAAGAAAGCTGTTACTACTGAAAGACTCATTTACAACTGGAGCTGAAAGTCACCTCAGAACATAACCGGGGTCCACATGGCCCAGAACCCAGTATGAATACATACACACCAGGAGCCTATGCTCATGTACTACACACACACAAACACCCCAGATCCCAATGTCTACACACACAACACAGAACTGAACATGAACACGCATATACACAGACCCGTCATGTTCACACACGATCCCATCAGAACACAATACAGTCACAACACTCACGCCCAATAAGGGGGCAGACCTCTTAGAACTCACAAACCCATCAAGACTCCAGACAGGCAGATAACCCTCAGACCCAACACAGACACATCCCCCTCACAACCAACATGTACAGACATACCTTACACCTAATAACAGCACACAGACACTTTAGAAGACAAACGTGGGGGTGCCTGGGTGGCTCAGTAGGTTAAAGCCTCTGCCTTTGGCTCAGGTCATGATTCCAGGGTCCTGGGATCGAGCCCCGAATCAGGCTCTCAGCTCAGCAGAGCCTGCTTCCCTTCCTTTCTCTCTGCCTGCCTTTCTGCCTACTTGTGATCTGTCAAATAAATAAATAAAATCTTAAAAAAAAAAAAAAAAAAAAACGACAAACGTGCACACATGCCTCCAGAATCTACCATAGGCACACAAACTTTCCTTCTGAACCAACATGGGAGCTCCTCCTCAAAACCTAATCACAAAACTTCACAACCAACAATACTCACCACTCATCCTGACACAAACAGAAACAGCCTCAGAACCAACAAAGACACACAACCCTCAGACCCAACACAGGCATACAGACCACTCAGAACTCAACACAGAGCACACATCTTCAACTCAAAGCAGAAACACACCAACACACACCCCCCTTCCCAATGAACACCTACTCACAGCCCTCTATATACAACTTGGGCGCAAAAATCCCTCAGAAACCAACATGAGTGCATATATCCCCCAGACACAACACAGGCACACAGACCTCAAACCCTACATGGGCAAACACACATCTCTGAACACAAAACAGGGATACACACCCCTTAGGCCCAACACAAGAACACAAAGACCCCTCAAAACTAACAGGAACACACAACCCTCAGAACACAACACTGGCACACACCCCCCTCAGAAAGAAACATGGATATACAACCACTGGACCCAACACGGGCACAGCACAAGAATACACACCCCTTAGAACCAACAGAGACACACAATCCTCTGACCCAGATGGGCACACACGCTTCTCAGAAGCCAACACTGGCAAACACACCCCACAGACCCAGATGGGCACAGACCCCTCGATCCCACCACAGAAACACTATTCAGAACCAACACAGACACGGTCCTCTCAGACCCGACATGGGCACAAACACCCCTCAAACATGGGAGCACAACATCTGAAACCAACATGCACATACACACCTCAGACCTAAAATGGACACACACACCACCAAGAAGCCACTGAGGTGCACATGCCCCTCAGAACCCAACATAAATACAACCCTGTAGAACCTATGCAGGCACACAGTCCTCAGACTCAATGGTCACATACAACCCTCACAACCCACCGTGGGCACGCAAGAGCAGACTCCCCAGAACCTAACTCCAAGGCACACCCCTTAGAACCTAAAACAGGTACATTACCTCTCAAATCAACAAAGACACACCGCTGTAGAACCAACACAGGCACACAACCCTTAGACCTAACACAGGCACACACACTCCTCAGAACCAACAGACACACAACACTCTCACCCAGCTTGGGAACACATCCTTCCAAACCTAACACAGGCACACACACCTCAAACCCAGGATGAGAGCACACCCCTCAAAATTAACACACACATACCCCCTCAGATCCAAAACAGAGAGAGACAGCTCTCAGAAGCAAAAAGGACAGATAGTGCTTCAGTAGAACCCAACCCTCAAACCCATACGGAAGTACACCCCTAAGAACCTACACAAACACGTACCTACTCAGACCCAACACGGGAGTACACAGCCCCTCTCAGAACCTAGTAAGGGCATCATATGCCTCAAACCCAACATGACAACATACACACCTTCAGACCCACAAGGACCCACAACCCTCAACATGAGCATACACAGCCTTTGACCCAACGCAGGATACCATGCTCAGAATCTACCACACTAACACACCCTCAGAAGCAACACCAACACGAACCTTCAGACCAAAACAGGCACACACCCCCCTCAGAACCAACAGGGCCTCACAACCATTAAACTTGACACAACTTCAGATAGAAATGGACACCCAATCCTTGACACGACGTGGAGAGCACCCCTCAGAACGTAACACAGACACGCAATCCTCACAACCAACCAGAACCAACGCCCTCATCCAGAACCACCTTCACCGCCAACGGGGCACAAACTCCTCTCGGATCCAGAACCCGCACAAACCGTAGAAGCTGCGCGGACACCCGCCCCCGCGAAGCCAGCAGCAGGAGGCGCTCCCCCAGCCCGCCCGGGTCGCGAAGCCAGCAGAAGCAAAGGGGCCCTGCACGCCGCGCGACCTCGCCAGCCCCCCGCACCTCCTCCTCTGAAAAAGAGCCTCTCCTCCTCCGCCCGTTGGCCTCGCGGGTCTGCGGTTCTCTGCTGTTCCCGAGTAGGCCAGTCCGCGCTGAGGAAATTCCCGGCAGTGCTGTTTCTAAGGCGAACAGCGCCGACGCTCGCCCTCGGAACCGACAGGCGGGCACAACAGCCCACACGCGCGCAGACGCCCCCCGGACCTCGGAAGCCGCCCCCCACCGTCCTCACACACCCCCCACCGGACCCCAGCTCGCAATCCGCTCGGAGTCCGGCGCCGCGCAAACCCTCAGCCCCGGTGTGGGATCACCCGCTCCGAAACCCGCTTCGGGCCGAGCCAGCGCGTCTCTCCCTCCCCGGGGACGCACCTGGCGCAGCGCCGCTTCGTCTGCGCCGCCCTCCCGTTGCCGGAGCTGCTCCCGGAAGCGCGCCACCTGCTCCAGCAGCGCGTCCACGAGCGAGGGCGCCGCGTCCCCCTCGAGCGCGGCCAAGCGGGCGCGCAGGCGCTCAATGAGGGCGTCCCGGGCAGCCAGCTGGTCCTCCAGGCGCCTCAGCCGCTGCCCGGCCTCGTGGTACAGGCCGCAGAGCGCCGCCGCCGCGCGCGCGGCCCCCTCCTGCCCGCCGGACCCGGCGCCCTCTGTGGACATGGCCGCGGGCCTCGACCGGCGGCCGCGCTGACACCGCCAACTTCCGCGCCCGGTCTGGGCGGGCCGCGCACCTTCCCGGAACTTTTCCCGGCGCGCCCCGCCCACGGCAACCGGCGTGGCCCCTGACCCGCGGAAAGGCCTTCCCAGACCGTTCGACAACCCCGCGCTGCTCACTGCGGCCGGCCTGGCCCCGCCCCTCCGCCGTGAGCCCGGCCTCCCTCGCCCCCGCGACTCTCCTGGCCCCGCCCCCCGCCGACTGCCCGGCCCCGCCCACGGCAACTGGCCTGGCTCCGCCCCTCCGCCGTATGCCCGGCCTCCTTCACCACGACTCTCCTGGCCCCGCCCCCCGCCCGCAGGCCGGCCTCTCTCACCGCGACCCTCCCGGCCCCTGACCTGCGGAAAGGCCGCCCCAGGCCCTTGGACAGTCTGGCCTCTCCCCAGGCCCGAGTCTTGTGGCCCCGAGGTCCCGGAGTGGCCGCCTTGTTCCAGCAGCCCCGCCCCCTTCCCGCCCACCCCCTACCCTCTCCCCTGGCCCCGGCGTCGACTTCTTAGGGAGACTGCCAGGAGGAGGAGGAAAGGCTGGGAGGGAAAGGGGGAGGGAAACCCGCCCCTGATGCAGCTGATGATGGGAGGGAAAGAAGGGGTGAAGGCGACCTCAAGTGCTGGACCTGTGCGTGGGTCCACATCCTGGCGCTGCAGGCCAGGTTGGCCACACAGAGCGACAGGAACAGGGCAACGTTCCAAGGTTCCAAGACTGAGCCCAAGGCGATGTCCTACCCGCCCCCCCCCCAGCTTTAGGACAGTGACCCAGAGCAAGGCGCCCCCACCCACAACGTGCCCCTCTCTAAGGTATTCTTAGAGCAGAAAGCAGGAGGAAGCTGCCCGGTTCTACCCTCACTTCTCCATCCCTTTCCTTCCTCCAACTTCCCAGACCGACTCCCAGTGTTTTTCTGGCTGCAGGCTTTCTTTTTCACAGTCTGAGCTCCCCCCGCCCCCGACTATGACGCCCACGCACACCTGTGCTGTTTCGAAGCTTCCCTCCCTCTCCGCCGCTCCCTCCCTCTCAGCCGCTGAGTTCTTCCGCCCTGTCCCCATCTGGTTTTCCCCTTGTGTGTCCACTGCCGAGCTTGGGCTGCGCCCAGGGAAAACCCTGGCAGGCTTGTAAATCAGACCAGTGTATGAGCAAAGCCAGCGCACACTTCCTCCTCTGCGCAGGGAAGGTCAGAGCCAGTACGCTCCCTACGGTGTTGCGGGTGTTTTGGGGAGTACAAGGTGAGGTGTAAGTGCACACTCCCCGTGGCTATGGCTGTGGAAGCTACATTCTGTTTGGCTGAGGCAGGGGTGAACACAAAGGAGCGGCTCCAGCCCTGCAGCTACTAGGGCTGGATGAGTCCTCATTTTATTGCTACAGGTATAACTTAGGGCAGGTCACTCAAGTGCCCTTGACCCTGGTTCTCAGCTGTGAAATGGGCATTCAAGTCTCTCATCCAACACTCTAGGGATCACATGTATTTTGGAAATCAGAATCTTTGGATTTTATGTAGGGACGTATAATTGGGGTAGCCAGCCTCCAGGAAGAATCCCACCACCCCCTGCTCCTGGGATCCAGCTCTAGTGATTTCAGCCCCTGATACCGTGGTACCCAATAGGACATCACGGAAAGGATAGAATGTAATTTAAGGCATTGTGGCTACTGCCTTGCCCTCTCTTGAATCACCAGCTCTGGGGGAAGCCACCCGCCGTATCACCATATTGTGAGGACATCAAGAAGCCCTGAGGAGATATGTGGGTGGGGAGGGATTCATGCCAACAGCCAGAGTCAAGTCAACTTCCCCACCGAAGTCAGTGAGCTTCCTTGGAACTGCACCCTTCAGCCCAGTCAAGCCCTTAGGTGATGCAGCCCCAGCCAACATCTTACCTATGACCTCATGGGACACCCAAGTCACTACCACTCAGAGAAACTGCTTCCGAACCCCTGACCCACAGAGGCTTACGGAGTCAATGTTTATTGTGTTAAGCTGCCTACTAAGGTGTGCGTACTTGGTTACACAGAAGTAGAAAACCAACATGTAGTGTCTTGTGGTGTGCCTCCTGAGGCATGGGACGGCACCCCGAAACCAGATCCATTAATATTTCTCCAAAGACAAGAAGACTATTCAGACTGAGATAAAGATGATCAAAAGTCTTACAGCTTTCAAGTCAGATTTCTCACCAACTTTAAGAAAAATATTTTGCATTTCCAAGCTTTTGGGATCTCAGAATTCTGGATGAGGGATGGCAGATTTCCCATAACAGGTATCTTACAGGGTGTTGTGAGGATTCTTAGGTTAACACCCTTCATAGCATTGTTAACAACATGCTGGCGCCTTCAACTGAAATCCAGTCGCTGAGTCAGGCACTGGGGATTCACGGGCAAACATTGTTGGTGGAGGCAGACCCTCTTTCGGGGAGGAAGGAAGGAAAGAGGAAAGAAAGATTGTAAAGTAAGGCAACTTTGTACAGGAAAGAGAGGGGATGTGTAAGGAAATAAATAAGGAGCAGAGAAGGAGAAACAGGAGGGCAGCCAGACGGAGGGGAGTTTCAGGGACAATCCAAGGCACAGAAGGGAGTGAGCCCCCAGCAGAGGGAAATGTGCCTGGGGAGAGTTACGGAGACACACCAGTCAGAGTGGGGCCATCAGCCTCTGGCCGCAGCTGCTCCAAGAAGAACCATGAGGAGGGCCTGGGAGCCTGTCCATGGGCCAAGCACATCCACTAAACAGTGGCCGCTCAGGCTGGCTGCTCATGGGGCTTAAGCCGCCCACCACCTCACATTTGGACACACCTGCTGTCGTGTCCTCCCCTCCTCCCCAAACCCAAGCCCTTTCCTTCCCAATGTGTTTGTAAATGCAGTGTTCCTGCTGGGAGGAAGGTGAGTATCTTAGGCAGCTCTGGCTTCCCTAACAAAATGCCATGGGGGCGGGGCTTAAAAGGCAGGCTTCATTTCTCCCACTTTGGGAAGTTGTAATTCCAGGGGCCAGCCAGTCTGGTTCCTCCTGGGCTGGCACAGACCCCCCCCCCCCCCCCCCAACCCCCCACCCTCCCCACCCCCGGTCCCCATGAGTCCTCATGCTGCCTTTCCTCTGTGTACACATTTCCCTGCTGTCTCTCTCTTCTTAGAAGGATACCAAGTCTTGTTGGATCGGGGCTCCGCCCTAAGGACCTCATTTAACTTTAATCACTTCCTTAAAGGCCATGTCTCCAAATACGGTCACTTTCAGGCTGTAGGGCTTCGACACGTGAGTTTTGTGGAGAACACAATTCAGTCTATAACGGTGGGGGACTACTGAGTAGCACAAAGGTATTTTCTACTCTTTCGTAAGGTGCCCTACTCACGGAGGAGAGTTCCCTCTGCCTTTGGAAGAGGGAAGAGGTGAGAACACAGAGACGGACCAGGGACAGGGAGTGCCATAAAGAGCCTGGACTGTGAGCCCATCACAGCCCCTGGGAAGGCTGTTCGGTCCTGTCGTACCCGCAGTGGCCAGCGGAGGAAGACAGAGGACCCAGACCCTGTGGCTCCAGGTGTCTCCATGCCTTCTCAGCCGCACAGTCGCGGACATTGAGCTCACATATGGGGTACTGTTTCCACCGTGGGCTTTTCTGGGGAGCCCTTACACCTGGTGCATTGGACCAGCAGAAAGAGAGGCAGGTTGAGGAGAGAGTCCTCAGTTCTGGGGGCGAATGCACTCTTACCCTCCCTGTGGGCTAGTCACCCGCCCCTCTCCACTCTGCACCCCCTAGCCAGAAGAATGTCCTCTGCCTAATCCACGGGTCGGCCTCACGTGCCCAAAATAAAGCTCTTCGGAACCTGCCCCACAGTGGGAGAGGATCCCTCACGCCCTGCAGTTATTCAGTGTTTGGTTTTGTGCAATAACGGATTAGCTACCCACTCCTGGGAGAGCGTCTCTAAGGCCTTGGACTGTCCTGTCTGCTAACCCAGAGGGAGGCCTCGGGCCACCCCTCATACTGCGTGCTGATGTCACAGGACCGCAGGGTTCTTGTCTCACAGAACCAAAGAATGAATGTCGTGGACACGACAGCCTGAAGTGAAGCGGAATGTTATCAAGGTGAGAGCAGAAAGGAAAGGCGAGGCTCCTTGAGAGACAGGGGTCCCCAGAAAGGATTGTCACGGAGGGCTTTTAGTGGCAGTCTTTTCCAGAGAACTGACCGCAAGCGTGTGGCCTGGAGTTCCTTGTGTCGTCTTGGTTTGAGTATGGACAACCAATGACTTAATTCTTTTTTTTTTTTTAATGACTTAATTCTTTGAGGTTTGGTCATTTTCTGTGATTACACAGTAGCCGCCAAAGAAAAATACTCCCTACCTCTGACCTCCGAGGCCAGGGGGTCTGCTTCCCTACCTCTTGTTCACTCCACCTGCCAGGAATAGTCTCAGAATCCAGCCAGGGGCCCCCTCCTCTCCGTGCCTGTACCTTAGCCCTTTCCTTACTGATGATAGGATTTCTTGATGTACCAGCTTGCCTCCTGGAGGGGCTGGAGACCGGGTACTAAGGCCAGTCTCATTGACTCTCCACAATGACATCAAGGCTGGGTGAGCTTCCTGGTGGGCAGTGAGACAGAATAGGGACTGGACTCAGGTCCTCCATCCCGGACCCCCAAATCCAGCATTCTTTGACTACCTCCATGTGGCGGGTAGGGGGTGAAGCTAAACTTCCATGCCTCTCCAGTGGCCTATCTTGCAGGAACATGGAGGGAGGATGCTTACGATGAACACTGGCAAAGACAGGACCAAATCATTTTGCACCAAGATGGACCCCAGCGCTGACCTTTCACCGACTTTTCCGCTCATTATAAAAAATCACACCCAGGAGTGGATATTTAACATGCAAATTAGAAGAAACAGCATGGCCAGGAAGAAGCAGCATGACCTTGAAGCACACGGGTGCTACTAAATTCCAGCCTCTTCGTGCTCCCACAGCACCCCTTTCCCACCTGTTCCTTTAGAAACGCTTCCTGACCTCCCCTGGGAGAGCCACCCAAGGAATCTTTCCTTTGTGCTG